GCAGATCTTGGCTCAAATCATAAGGTCGTATCGTGAGGTTTTTAGCGCCGCGAAAGAAACGGTGTTTATTGCAGAACTCTTTCAACATCGACTGGCCAGGATACAATCGGTCTGGTTAGTTGGTTATCCAGAAAGTTGTGCGTGGTTACATTTTTTTAATGTAGAAGTATTGGTAGCAAAAAGTCCAAGTTCCCCGGCAAATTGAAGAAAGCGTTCTACATTGGGGCAACGAACTCTATCGCCATATTTGCCAACCACAAAGCCCATCGTGGTCTCGTAATCGCGCACATCCCAACCACATCCGATCATGACAGCCTTTCGGAAAAAGGCTGTTGGCAGTTCCGCATAGAACCTATTTTTGTTATTGTTATCTATGTATAAGGTAGCAACATGTATATATTGATGATCGAGACATTGTAGAATTTCCATTTGAATGGAGATAGGCCACACGGTCATTAGCCACGGGGAGATTCCTTTGAGGTTCCTTGATAGTCGTTATACGCCATTTAATCCTGAATTATCCAAAGTTACACAATAATATAGCCACTGTATCTGCTCGGAGCCAGATGTAATGCACCAATCCGTAGGTAAGAAGATGAATTTCAGATAAACAACATTGTCCACCGTGATTTAAGGATTAAACGGATAATTCTGTGGAGATAAGTAAAATATTTCACTACTCTATTATGTTATCATTACTTTTTTAACGGCGTTTACTGTTTCTGATTCGTTCAGCTGCCTCCACCTCAGTGGATAGGAATAATATTACGAAAGTTTGAAAAGAAATTTTGCAAAGAATTGCAAAAAATGGCGAAACGGCGAAAGGACTTAGAGCAGTATTAACAGCAGCAACGACGCAACAATAGTCGAACACAAGAGGTTCACAGCAGATGTGCGATTTTTTAATATTTACATGATGAATGGTAAAAAAATAATGCAAATAATAAAACCGACGATACTGTTGCTGCTGCTATTTTGATAAATCGTTGGCGCTTTTTTTGCCCAATCGTTTGCAATAAATTGGAGAAATGTTTGTCCAAAACGATCCCACTTTGTTTATTTTTCTGATTCACGCAAGTTATATTTTCATTTTTATAATTTTCTAAAATGGTTTTATATCTCATTTTCTGGTTCTTCCATTCTGAGCCAGGAGGAGCAGAATAGCCGAGTGCATATCATTGAGGCGAGGGTTCGATTCTCACAGCAGTGAAATTGTAGCCCAAGTGGTTCTGATGACCCACTTGCACTGCCATCGCCGAGTGAATTCACTAGGTAAAGATTTCTTACTAACAGCCAGCAGAACTCATCAGAAATGGTGAGCACCCTAATTACTTTCTTTACGTTCTAATTTGGAGGGGTTAGAAAATGTTTTCGAACTCTCAACTTCCTCTTCATCATTTGTGAACAAAGTGCAAATGTAAGCGACATTACATTCGCTTTGCTTCTTTTTTAAGGAACACCAGGTTCAGTTCATTGCATTCAGTCCATATTGATTAGTCTAGAATCTTCTTGTTCTTCTAACAGCTCTCACCATTACTGGTTAGGTTGGCTGCAACGGCTACAAGTACGCTTCCAAGCGGCGCGGTCTGATGCCATCATCGACAGTAATGGAAACCATTCCTTTTTCCATCATCTAAATCCATATCTTGCTGGTCCACCTATACGTTCAAAATCTTTTCGTATTAATCCAGGTCTTGATTGGCTCACCTCGCTTTTGACGCCAGCCATCACAGGGTTAAGCAAGTAACGAAATGTGAGTCAGTTCATATGATGGATGACGGAGAACGTGCGCTAACCACCGAAGGCGGCGCTCTGTAAAAACATTATTTATGCAAGTGATATTTGAACAAAGATGGCTGTGATCTTGTGATGTTTTATCCGCTCGATGGATCCCTAATATGTATATCTTAGACAAGAGTGGTCAAAGGCAGATAACTTCTTAATATCCTCCACTCTCATTGGCCATGTCTCAGAACCATATAGCAAAATCGAGCGGATCACGGCAATATAGATGCGAACTTTCGTTTTTATGGTGATTTCACGACGTCCATCCATAAAGGTCTCGTCACATTTCTAGCTGCCGAGTTGTAATATCATCTTTTACCTGTCCATTTGGTATTAGATTGGACCCAAGGTATTTGAAATCGGGCACTTCCTCAACCGGCAATGAATTTACAAAAAGCGACTTCTTGCACATAAGACGAAAAGACTTTCGTTTTATTTACATTGATCCCAAGTCCGATTTTCGCTGCAGTTTCTGACACGTTATTTAATATTACTTTTATTTCTATCAGCAAAAAGGACGACATCATCACGATATTCAAGATCTGTGATACTATGCTCTGGAATAATTCGGAGTGCCGAAAAGCAGTATCCATTATCTAGTCTATTGCATAATTGAATATTGTGGGAAAAGGGGCGCAGCGATGACGAGCACCTGTTCTTATTTCTGTCAGCTCCCCTTATACACAGACCTGCACCGACGTGCGCTCATAAAATGCCTTTATGAGTCTAATGATTTTCTCTGGAACACCGTCATGTTCCATCATCCTCCAAAGCGCCGCTCTATCAATTGAATCAAAGGCAGCCTCAAAGTCGATGAAACACTTGACAATGGGTTGCAAATATTTGAAGCGATGTTCCACCACCCATCTTAGTGTGAATATCTGGTCAGCACAACCGCGCTCTGGTCTGAAACCAGCTTGATTAGGGCGTCCCGTACTTCCATAAGTCTGTTGAGTAGCAGGGAAGCAAAAAATTTTTGCTGAGTCGTCTAATAGGCTGATTCCTCGATAATTGTCGCAGTATGTCCTATCGATCCTTTCTTGAGAATTGGGAGCAGAACTGTTTTGCTCCAATCATCTGGTAATATTTCTTTTTTCCATACTAAAGAGTACATTTGTTGAAGATGCGTTATGAAGGACAATGGACAGCATTTGAAAAGCCCGAAGACCATCTTCTCCTGGAGTTTTGTTGGCCTTAAGCTTATGGATAACTGAAATTATTTCTTCTTCTGTTGGAGGCTCGCAATTGAAAGCGTATGCTTCGGCAAATGTATCAGCTATATCAGGGCAATAGATGGTGCTTCATGGTTAAATTTGGCCTCAAAGAATTCTTTCCATCTTATGAGGCGATTCTTAATACTTTTGATTAGTGCGCCATTGCTATCTCTTACCATTTGATTGATCGTTCCCCGAGTCATAGTTGCTTTATGAAGAAGGCAGAATAATTTCCTATTATCGCCTAATCGAGCCGCTGCTTCCATTCTTGAGACCATGTCACTCCAATAGAGATTCTGTCCAGCCTTGCTGCTTTCGTTGCAAATCTTCGAAGGACCCGGTAGTCAGGATCATCTGACATTCTTTGTGATTTGGTAGCTTTTTCAGACAATTGGACAGTTGTTTCCGATACCCAACTAGCGCACTTCCTATTATATGCCCTAGCGTGGAAGTAGCTGATTTTCGGAGACATTCCTGTAGTTTGGACCAGTATTCATTTGCCGTTCCAGCAAAATCATTGATATTTGTATCATTGAGGTGCTTCAATAATTCGGTTTGAATGCGCTCACTATCGCCGAATTTTTTAGTTTTTAGTTGAAGGAACTTGTGAGATGCTGTTTTCTGCGAGTTGTCAATTTTATGCGGATCTTGTCTCGAACCATAACATGGTCAGATCAATGAAGATTGCTTGTTTCAGCTCTGCGATAGGAACGACTATCTAGTACGGAACTCTTCCAACGGCGACTGACTAAGATAATCAATCTGATTGAAGTGTTGGTTATCCGGAGAATTCCACGTGACTAGATGTTTTCTATAATGTTCTATAATATAATGTTTTCCGGAAGTAAGTATTAATAAGAAAAAGTTCATGCTCTTCGGCATAACGAAGAAGACGTTTCCCATTAACACACCGGTCTCCGATGCCATATTTGCCAATTGTTGAGGTCATCGTAGTTGCATTATGATTTACGCGAGCTTTCCAGTCTCCCCCGATTATAATCATGTCATGTTTCTGTAGAAACTTAGTTGAAGCTCCGCATAGAATTTATCTTTATCACGGTCATCTGCCGACAGAGTTGGAGCATAGACACTGATGACCGAAATATTGCAGAACTTACCCTTAAAACGGGCATAGGACATATGGTCGTTTACCGGTTTCCATTCAATCAAAGGGGAATTGGCCTTTTCAGACAAGTTCGCTAATCGCTACGCCATTTCGTCCCGAGTTATTCGAAGCACCACAGTGATATAGGCAGTATCTCTGGTCTGAACCAGGATTAATAATTGCTCGAGACTCAAAGTGAGAAAGATGGACCTCCGACAAGCAAGCGATATCCACACGATACTTAGACAGGGTGAGGACAGTGATCGCTTGGCTTGCAACATCCATAAGCGTTCTGACGTTCCATGCTGATACGGCTAATACCTCGCCTCGCTTGCAAAAGGCTATTCCCCTTGACATGTTTCGAGTAATTACCCTAGCTTGAGAGCACATTTTATTTACCAGCCTTAGGATCGCTTTAAGTCCGGATTTTATACTTACCGCATGTACCACCGTGCTCGAAGTATCATGCTCGTCGGGAGACGCGGACGCCGGACGCCTTACCAAGTGTATCTGACCCTTTCACCATAGAGTCACTTGGGGATAGAGTTACAGGTGGGTCCCCACCAGCCACTCGGATTTTTGACATAATAGCAGGTTTACTCCTGCCAAAGAATAAAAAAATTAAATTTGAAGGAAATAATAAAACGAACAATGAAATTTAAAAAAAAAAAAAATTAGCCTAGAATGACGATTAAAATTTTGTTTTCAGTCTTTTTCAGTCTTTTTTAGAGAAATAATTTTCGCATTTATTCATTTCGTTATTGGTGACAATCAAAATATTTTATCAAAATTTGATAATTATCAACAAAATACGAATGAATGCTCTCTCTCTCGTTTATAATTTCAAACCCTAACCTTTTAAAGAATGCTTCAGGTAGATTTTCCATCGATAGACGATGCTTTCTCGTCATTCATCGTTGGTTAATCTCATCTTTTATTTGCTGATACTGTCAGTGATAAATGCAAACTATGATTACGACGACAGTTTCATGGAATTTGCTTCAAGTGAAGGTGGTATGTATGTTTTGGTATTTGGCCTTAAATAATATTTTGCAGATTGTCTTTTTCGTTTGTGCTTTCCGATTAGAATGTCTTCTTTTTCCTTCTCATATATATTCTCAGTTATCACATTTGTTGCATTTATTATACTTGCAGTTTTTTTATTACTTTAACTTTACTGAAAGGAAAATTATGCATCAACATTAAATTAAATAAATTTAACATCTGAGCCGCCGAGCTTGTTTTTTCGGCTAAGCCATAATAGATTCGATTCTCGTTCCTTGACATGAATAAGCTTATTACTAATTCACATGGTGATGGAGACCTATTGCTCTAGATTAACTAAAACCAGAAAAAGAAAAGTGGATCCGCTTTTTCATATTGAATTCTTTTTTCAGAAAGAGGGCTTTTTCCTAACATATTCAATCTTGCGACAAATGCTTTAATCTGGGCAGATGCAACATGTGGAGAAGAACATAAAGAAATATATTGCAAACTGGTTGAACATGTCTTTAACAGGTTTTTGAACTATCCATTAAACATCCTTATTCATTGAATTGAATAAGAGGACCAGATAGTCAAAACATTCCTGCTTATTGGTGGAAGTTATCGTTAGCAGAATTGATCTGCCAGGACTCCACCTGTATTTTTGTCCCCAACTGGCGAAATTTCTGGTCAAAAGGTTTCAAGAAAAATTTCGACTTTCATTTGAAAAATTTCCAAAATATTCAGAATTAGAACCAGAAATGATGAGTATTATTATTGAAAAACTGAACTGAATGATATTTTGTTATCAGACATAATATTAGTGAATTGATAGGAAAGTGGAAAAATTTAAATGTTTTTTAAACCACTTTCGAATATAGCAAAAGCCATTTAAAAAATGTAGCAACCGAGTCTACCTTCTTTAGAAAGTTATTTGACTATCTAGGATGAGGTCCTTTTCCTAAAGATCCACTTAGTGGTGCTTACTTCCGCATCAGCTTTACTTCATTTTTTACAGGTTTATTTTTAAACAGGAGTCGAAAGCTCTTCTTCTACAATCAAAACAATTTGCAATAATCATACCGTCATTTTAATTTATGAAATTGAAAAAAGCATCTCAGCTTAATATCAATTATATGTCAAATTTTTCAGGCAGCCACAGTGCGATGTTTGTGATGCAAATGACGCCAAAAAGCGGCATCCAATTGAATTTGCTATTGATGGTACTCGACGTTGGTGGCAGAGTCCTTCTTTGGCTAATGGTCTTGAATATGAAAGAATCAATATTACCATTGACCTTCGACAAGTATATGTTGATTTCACTGCTGGTTCTTTTTTTCTAAAAGTGCTCACCATTTCTAATTAAGCTCGCTCCACTATTTAATCGGACAAGATAAATTTTAGCAGTTGACGATAAAAGCACGATAGTTGAGTCAGTCGCCCGCATTATCTACTGCTGGATTATTTATTATTATTTATCAATTTGCTAATTAATTATTATTATGCAAATTAATTATTATTTTCTAAAATAATTTATAAATCTCTATGCACTCTTAAAATTCATTCTCATCTTTTGGCGGAATGGAGTGATTTTTAAAAATTGGTGGTCCTCATATTAAAAAAAATTTAAAAAGACTGACTCCTAGTGACCAGATATCCTCACTCAAATCGTCAAACTCCGTCGCTTAATCGCTATTTCTCTTTGCATTTCCTCAATATTCTTTCGAACCTTTCACACTGCTTTCACACCACTTTTCTCGTAAAATTGCAATATTTGCTATGGCTTTCAGAGAATATAACGGCTTTGTTTTCAGTGACAAAAATTATATGAAGAATAAGGGAGTATTTAAGAGAGAATATTTAAGAAAAAAATGTCAAACTTAAGAAAGTAAAAGTGTTTTTATGGAATATTTAAAGGAAATAACAAGTTTCTGGAATATAAAGGAAATATTATTGCTCCTGAGGAATTTATTAGGAAAGTATAGTAGTGGGATTAATTCAGTAAGAAAATGATGAAAGGAGGGGAGGAGAATGGTATCAATGGAATCTAGCAGAAGTGCACATGACGAGGTATCTCGGAAAAGCATGAAATTTTGAGGGATCTGAAAGGGTATAAGGAAGTTTTCTGCAAAAATAACGGCTTATAATTTAGCTTGTGGCTTATGGATATAAAGAGCAGAGATTTCACTATTTGGGATAAGTTTCACTCAGCTTCTTTTCGGACATGGATATTCACATAGCAGTTTGTTGTATAATCTAGTAAACCAGTCTTTAGCACGGGGGAATTTCTGGTCCATTAAAATGTTAAAAAAACTGAAAAAACTGATACGTGTAATTATCTTTGATATTGCAAGCTTCATTATATTCCCTTAACATTGACAGGAGTAGACCTGTTCAAAAATCCCGATGATGCTATCGATTCATTTATCGCCAAGGAACTATCTGGCATATTTGTCCAATGCGACAAGCCAGCTGAGAAAGTCTAACAGTAATGGTGAAAGCTCTTGAAAAAAAATTCTCTTAACACTATTTGAACCCTTTCTTTTTTATCCCTTCCTTCCAACAAAACCTAATTAATGCTCCTTACCTCGTACCACCAGTTTACTATTCCAGTGGACTTTATATCCTCACCATTTTCGTTCCTCTTAAATTCACCTCTTAAAATGTTCTGTTCTCTTAAATTTCTCTACAATTCTGTGGAATCTCACAACGTAAAATAATTTAAAATAGTAGTCTGTTTTAATAAATTCTTCACATGTCATGCAGTAACTATCTGAAAAATGTTTAATTCGAAAACAGGAATATCAAGTGGCATATATTATCGTGAAGAGTGCAATAGCTCCTCGACCAGGAACATGGGTACTTGAAAAATCGCTTGATGGCATTAATTATAAACCGTGGCAATATTACGCAACAAGCGACTCAGATTGTATGCGAGTTTTCGGTGTGCCAGCCACAACCGGTTTACCCAAATTTCTAAAAGATGATGAAGTAATTTTTTCATAATCCATATTTTTATATAAATCGCCAACGAAAAATGAACAAAATTTCGCAAAATTTGAAATTTTCAGTTACCATACTTTTTTGCTCAAAATATTTCGTTTGAAGATAGCCTTTTCTCCAATTTCCTCTTTTTCATCAAGTTAATTTATGCCTATGAATGAATTTTAATTTAATTTTAAAAGGTAAAGTAAGTAATTTTAAAGTATTTCGCGGAGATCTAAAACTGTAACAACTCGAATTAGCTATGTCGCAACTTCGATAATTAAACCATTGTTTAATGAATATTTTGTATTAATATTAATGAGAAAGAATATAAATGGCGAATATATAGAAAAAGAATATAATATAGATGAATGAAAATACAATAATTTAATATAACAATAATAAGAAATGTAAAACAAATTTGTATTGAAAGTATTTAATTAGTACTTTATCTCCTTTAAAATCAAGTCAATTGACAACAAGCCTTGTGGAGCAATGTTGCGGAGTGAAATCGCGACTTAATCGTCTCTCAGTCCATAATCCCGCTACACAGAGTGAAATAAAGGCGGCAACATGATGCAAGCATTTTATTCCATCGCTTTGTCGCCTATTATTCTTGTTCCCATGAATGCCATGTCCCTTCTTCTCTCCTTCTTGCTCACAAGGCTTTAGCCTTGTTTCACCATATCAATTTGTTGGCAGACATTATCTTTATCTATTCTGGCTTAGAGTAAAGAGAAATGTTTTTCACCTTTCTTTACTGGTTTCTTAAAATATTTTTTTAGATGAGTGAGAGTATCCTGTCCATTTTGTATCGCATTTGTATTCGCATTTGGGCGACATATAGTTTTCAGAATTATTGTTAGGAATATCAACAAAATTGTTGTGTAAAAATGAAATAAAAAATTGGTCTGCCAGCCGAATTTATTGCCAGTATACGGTGAACTTTGAAGATTTCTATTCATTTTCATTTTCTTACTGTTCATATTTAGGTAATTTGTACATCATATTATTCAAAACTTGATCCACTGGAAAATGGCGAAATCCATACCTCTCTTGTTAATGGTCGCCCAACAGCTGAGGCCGCTTCGGAATTACTTCAAGTCATTTACATTTTTGAAATTATTGTCTAATTTTTGATATTGAAACAGATGTTAGCTAAATTGTTTGCTTGGGGTCCTTTTTCAGTAGAAGATACAATTTCTGATTTGATTACACTTATACTTATCGTTTGTTTGAGACGAATGATCGAGCTTTTTTGCCTGGATCACTTAGGAATAACGGTAGGCCCTCCAACAACATGGTGTTAATAACAGATTTACCTTCATCATGAAATTGAACCTATATTATTTAACTTTAGTCAAAGCATACGATTCTGACACATTGCTCTTTTTACTTACTTACTTAATTATTTATATTTTCAGGAATTCACTAGAGCTAGGTTTGTCCGACTTCGGTTAATAAGTATTCGTACATTAAATGCTCATTTAATGATCATTAACAATCGGGCATCAAGGCATAGGCTTGATAAATCGGTTACGCGACGATATTTCTATGCTTTAAAAGATATAAGCATTGGAGGTCAATGTATTTGTCACGGTCATGCTGAAAGTTGTCCACCGGATCCAGTCACTGGTGTTAGTTTTTTCATTATTTTCATTACTGAAAACTATTTTGTGATTTTTTTTTGTTAAATATTATTTTCATTGCTCTTGGTTCTTTCGCTATTTTTTTCATTTTTACGGTTATTTATACTTTTAAAATCTTTTCAAAAATTAGCAAAGTTAATAAATATTTGAAGGATAAAATTTTAGGTAATTTTGGGTATTTTAGGTTTTTATAAAGTATTTTCAGCAACAAATAAAATTTTTAGCAATTTCGTTGTGAATGTCGGCACAATACTTGCGGTGAATCGTGCAGTAGTTGTTGTCCATTATTTAATCAATTGCCTTGGGCTCAAGGAACTCAATCACATCCAAATATTTGCCAAGGTTTCATTTTTTTTGAAAAAAATTAAATTTTCAATTGTATTTGCAAGTATCCATATTCTTCATATTCTTCATATTATCCTATAATACTTTTTTATTCAATGTTTTATATAGCTTGTCAATGTTTTAACCATGCTGACCGTTGCGAATATGATCCAGAAATCGAACGGCTTGGACTAAGCGTAACACCTGAGGGGATATTCGAAGGCGGCGGTAAATGTATCGATTGCAAGGTTTTTTAAGATTTTATCTCCAAATTCCATACTTTTGGGATTACAAACGCAATGGAATTAAAAATGACTTAATGAAAATTGGCCAAATTTATTGGCGGAAATTTCGATGTTCAATAAGGATTGATAACAAAAATTTCATTGTTATATTTCCATTTTGTGCTTTTTGCTTGAAGGATTTATAAAATTTATATTTATAATATTTATATTTATATTTATAAAAATATGCTTATAAAATTTTGTTATTTCAGCATAATACTGATGGTATTAACTGTGAACGCTGCAAATGGACTTATTATCGTCCTTCAGGTATAACTCATTATCGTGAGGACGCTTGCCGTCCATGTGATTGCGACCCGCTTGGATCAGAGCATAATAATTGCGTAAGAGATGAGACAAGTGCTGCAAATGACCAGGTTGCTTTTATATTATAAATTAAATATGGCAAACTTTAATTTTTTTTTTCAATAAGCACCCACCGTTTCAGTTAGACACAATCACCCACTGCGCTATTTTTTGAACCAGATAAGTTTTGCGAGAGTTTTTCATTTGCAAAATACGATAAATCGACAGCACTACTTTCATTTTCGGAAGACAGGTTTAGATGTAGCTAGCATCGACGCTCCGAAAGGAGAAGAACGACCCGCTGGACATTCAGTCACCCCTTAATTTTAATAATAACGGTTGTTAATCAATAATTTGCTTCATATATTAGTTATTTAATTGTCAATCTTTAGTCAAAAATTATTTAATTAATTAATTGCTAACCAGGACTTGGTTTTCAATTTGTCAAAAATCTTCGATAACCAGAGCGCGTATTTGATTCCATGTATTATGGTACTAATGGTAAGCCGTTGGTATTAACCTTTTGATTTTAGAGGCCTGGTGATTGCATATGCAAGCCTGGATTCGGAGGTAGACGATGCGACATTTGTGCTCGTGGTTATCGCAGTCATCCTTCGTGTGAGCCATGTCCATGTAATCAAGCAGGATCCTTGAATTTCGATACATGCGAAGAAGAAAAATGTGTTTGCAAAGCAAATGTGGAAGGAATATATTGTGATCGGTGCAAAGTATAAAAATCCGTTTATCGCTTATCCGTTTATCGTTAAATAATAATTTCACACAATTTATTTTCATTTTCATTTTTATAAATCATTCTTATTTAAATGAACGTTTTTTTTCAGGAAGGAACTATTAATTTGAATGCCAACAATCCTATCGGGTGTCAGACATGCTTTTGCTTTGGTCAGAGTGGCATATGCAGCGAAAAGAAATGGGATAGAGGACAGGTAAACAGAAAATTTCCCTCTTTTTGGAAATTTAAAGATCTTAAAATCGTTTATTTCCTTATTTTCTCGATGTTTGTGGTTATATCTATTGACCACTGCTCGACCATCCGTCTCAGCTTAAATCAAAATCAAACCACTTTTTTCGCAGATAATAAGAATGATTTTAGATTCGTGATAATATCGGATGGAACTTAACAGATTATTCACAGACAAAATCGGTTAAGCCGAAGTCAGAAAATGGAGAAATGTTGATATACAATATTGATGATCACAAAAGTGAAACACTTCATTACTGGAAAGCGCCAGCTATATTCCTCGGAAATATGGTTTTTTTTTGGTTTATCTTTTTTTTTCAAATTCTTTCGGTTATTTTAGGATATTTTTAATGATTTCTCGCAAAATATTAATTATATTGGTTTCATTGTTTTCAGTTAAAAAGCTATGGCGGTTATCTTCATTATTATGTTTATTTCGTACCTTCGAGTGATGGCGAATCTGTTCCAATTCCCGATGTCATATTAGAAGTATTTTTCGTTATTTGATTCCTTTCGCTTTTATAAGTCACCGTATAGTTATTATTTAAATCTATTCATTAAATCTTAAGAATTCTTCAACATTTTCTCTTATTCTTTTGAGTTAGATTTTGTAGGGAGATGGCCTCAAATTGGAATATCATAGTAGACAAGAACTTTTTCCACGTGAAAATATAAGTATGCTTATTCCCATACGGGAAACAATGGGGTGGTATAATTCGGCGACGAGAACTGCAGTTGATAAGACAGATCTTATGCGCGCTCTCGCTGATGTTAATAGCTTGCTTATTCGATCTACTTATCATCAAAATCAGGTTCAATCGAGGTATTTATGTTTTATTCTTGAGTTTTTGTAACCAAATGATTTCAATTTATGAATTATTTTTATGTTTTTCATCTAATAGGTCTTCTGCATTAACTGCTTTATTTTTTTATAAATCATCTGTTCAATGCTTCAGTTTTTTGAATTTAAAATCCTGAAATTTAAAATTTGTAAATAATATTCTATATTTTCTACAGCTTTTTCAGCATCTATGGTCTTTCTCTCGATACTGCTACTGAACCTCAAAAAAAAAAGGAAATGGAGGACGAAATGGATGCTTCAAAGCCGAAAACTTTAATAGATACTTTGATGAGAGGTGTTGAAATCTGCGAATGTCCCGAAAATTTTTCTGGAACCAGCTGCGAGGTAATCCGCTCACACTGTCTACACTATTTATGTATTTGATTCATTTATTTGAGTGACCAAATAGTACTTTTGAATGAAAATGAAAGAATGAAAATTGATGCAAGAAATATTAAAATTGGAAAATATGTGCAATGTCGATGATAAATAAATATAAGATGAAAACTTTTTAAAGGAGAAAGTATTTACAATAAGCATTTAATTCTTTATTCACCTGAAATAAAAATTTAGCAATGTGTCGCTGGTTATCGTCGCGTCAATGCTCAGTTGTATGCAGGTAAATGTGAACAATGTATTTGTGAAGGCCATTCAAATAAATGCGATCCATATACTGGCCACTGCCTTGATTGTCAGGTAAGTTATTCCACTTTCTTTTAGGCCTGGATATCTTGACGTTGAAATGGGAAAAAAACTCACATTTCGGTCTTCACTAATTTAAGTCTTAAACTGAACAAATCTTAAATTGAAATTCAGATTTTTCTCCAAATTTTTTCAATTATAAGTTAGAAGTAAGCAGTTGTAGTATTATTTGTTTGTCATCAGTGGAAACAATATTGTATTTTCATATCTTTCCTTTATATTTTTATAAATTTTAGGTTATCTCAAAAATATTATCGTATTTCAAAAATTTAAATTCAGACATCTGAAAATATATTATACTATGCTCAGTTATAAATTCGCCATCTTTTTCAACAGTTCTTTCTCATTAGAATTTCATAAATTTCATGAATTCATTTTTTCTTCTCTCTTCTTCTTCTAACAACTCTCACCATTGCTGGTCAGGTTGACTGCACTGTCTACAGGGATAAGACGTTTCGAAGATCTTGCGATCTGATGCCATCGACTATAATAAAAGCCATTCCTTTTTCCTTCGTCTACGTCCATTTAGTGCTAATCTACCTATAAGTTCAAAATCTTGCAGTATCAGTCCAGGTCTTGATTGGTCCACTTTGTTTATGACAGAGAAGGCAACGCTATGATGGTGCTATTAACGCAAATAGTATTTGAGAGAAATTAAATGCGATAGTGTGAGTTTTATCCACTTGACCAATCCGCAAAATATCTTAAACATGATCAAAAGCAGATAACTTCTTTATATCCTCCATTCTCATTGATCATCATTGTCTCGCAGCCATATTGCAAAATCGAAGCAATCGCGACTATATAGATACGGACTTTCGTTTTTATAGTGATTTCACAACTGGTCCATAAAGATTTCGTCAACCGGAAGAACGCATTTTTAACTACCGTGATCCAGGTTGTAATATCGTCTTTTGCCTGGCCATTTAATATTGAAGTGGATCCAAGGTATTTGAAATCGGGCACTTCCTTAACCGGCAATGAATTTACAAAAAGAGGCATTTTATCAGCTTCTTATGTATACAAAGATATATTCGAGGCTTTTACATCGCAGAAAACTGATAATACTTTTAAGATAACTTAATGTTTAAAAAACTTTGTTTTGAGGAAGCGATCAAAAATCTTTAAATAAAAATTTTTGCAAAACTGGCAAAGCCTATGTTTTATAGGATCAACTTCTTTTTAATTTTTAGCTCATTTTTTACTCAAAAAATAGTAAATGATATCATATAAAACAAATATAATGAATGAATGATGTCGTGAAAAGTAATGATTAAATTCAGTTAAAAAAAATATTTCAAAGGAATGACTTAACGTACTCGTCGATAGTTCCACGAATTGACGTTTAGCATTTACAACCAATTGAAATCTTTATTACAATACAAATAATAATACGAATAAAACGACGTGCGAAACAATATATATATATTTATATATATATATATATATAAACTATATACTGTATAAACTGCTTAAATTAAAATTTAGCGAGAAAAAAGAAAGTTATGCGATTCCCACCTCGCTTAAAAATAAATATTGAATGCTAACCAGGATTGAATTAAACAGATGAAAAAATGACCCTAAAATATGGCAAAATGGAGCAAAATAGTGAAAAATTTACCTGAACAAACAATAAATTGATCTAACGAAGCAATGAAGAACTGACCATAGCAAACGATAAAAACTTTATAATTTATAATCTTATGATGTAATTATTTTTGAATAATTTTATAATAAATATTGCAGCATAATACTACGGGATTTCGTTGTCATCAGTGTTTACCTGGTTATTATGGAAATCCTTCACTGGGAGGAGAAATGGGACAATGTCGATCTTGTGCATGTCCCACCATTGATAACAATTTTTCTTCCCAGTGTGCGCTCACACAGTTAGTAGTCGAAGGTGTTGCTGCATCTAGTGAAGATGCCTACGTATGTACCGCTTGTGAACAGGGCTATGATGGAAACAAATGTGAAGTGTTAGTGTGTTCTTTTTGTTGATTTAAAATGATCAAAGGTTTTACGGAAATGTTCAATAGTTTTCCGAATTTTCGAACAAAACTTTACTGAAAAATTTATATCTATGATAGGCAACTGCATAAATTATCCAGTAACTTTCTTTTTGCAGTTGTGCCGATGGTTATTTTGGCGATCCATTAGCTATGAATGGTTCATGCCGACCTTGTGAATGTAATGGAAATATTGACCCAATGGCAATTGGGAACTGTGATAGGACTACAGGAAAATGCTTGAAATGTATTTATAATACTGATGGTGATCACTGTGAATATTGCAAGGAAAATCATTGGGGCAATGTTAATAATAAATCTTGCAAACCATGTAATTGTCATCCGAAAGGATCAAACGTCGCTAGCTGCGATAATTCAACAGGTTCCTGTGATTGTCGTGAGAATTATGAAGGCGCTCAATGTGACAGATGCAAGGTTATTAAAAAGCTGGCTATTTTATCTATGATCCCATTTTGAATTATTTTTGTTAAAATTGCGATTAAAATATTTCAGATTTCGGAAGCGAAAATTTTAGACCACAGAAAGATTATTTTTTATATATTTATAGATTACAGGATGGTCATGGTGACATTGAAAATAAGTGTCCTTTGTGCAAGTGTAATTCTACAGGTTCATTTGGCAGTGAATGTGATCAGGTTTCTGGCCAGGTAATTTCGGAATTTTAGTATTATTATTAATCTCTATTACTAAACTAAAAAAAAATAAATGTAGATCTATGTAGGTTGGGAATGAAATGGCTCAATGGGTTGTTGTTCAATTGGGAACGCCGATGTTGAGGTTCGATTCCCCGTAGAAGTGAATCTGGAATAAAAATCTGGAATATTAGTATAAAATCCGGGTGATGGTGGCGATTCACCTGTATTTCTATCGCCCGGGGACTCCTTAGCACATTGCCCAGTTGCAACAAACCAGTGAAGCGAGTTTAACCAGTTATGGTGAGGACTCTTTAAAAAAAAATATAAGTCTATATATAAATATTCTATGGGCTAAATCAGGAAAACTAATTTAAATAATAGATAATTTAAGAAATTAAGCGAAAAAATCCATTGATCATAATTTAGTGTGCTTGTAAAACTGGTGTATTTGGCAAACATTGTGATATGTGTCGTGCAAGTTATTTTAATTTCACTGAATTCGGGTGCCAGTTTTGTCATTGCAATACATATGGTGCAATTGATAACGGAAAATGTGATAATATGACAGGAAAATGTGAATGCCGTTCAAATGTAATTGGAAATATGTGTGAGATATGTGCAAATGGATTTTTCAATATAACAAGCAAAATTGGATGCCAGGCGAGCGAATTTTTCAAATTATTCTTGCTTTTAAGCAGGGGTTTGCATACATTTGGTTTCACAAACATCTTTGCTAGGAATGTGAATGCGATGAAAAAGGTTCTGAAGATACCCAGTGCGATATTCACACTGGGCAGTGCATCTGTAAGCCTGGAGTCACTGGACTGAAATGTAAGAAATGCGCACCAAATCACTTTGGCATGAGTGAAGAAGGTTGTAAAGGTAAATAATATTTTATTTACTGTTGTATTTCATTTGCAACTGAAGAAAATTATCATAAATCATCATACAAATATTTCTGGTTGTGAACATGTAATAAAATTAAAAATAATTGAAAAATTTAATTAGAAATTCTATTCAAAGGGCTAATCAAAATCTCGTTCCAGAATGTCAAATATGCCCTGCCCCCGGGCAGGTTTGCGATCCTATCACTGGGGATTGTGTTTGCCCACCTAATACGGTTGGTGAAATTTGTGAAAATTGTACGACTAATGCATGGGACTATGATCCCTTAAGAGGTTGTACATTGTGTGAATGCTCGGATATTGGTGCAGATGGACCTGATTGTAGCCCAGTGAATGGTCAGGTAATACCCATTACCCATAGAATTATAGTTCTATAAAATTTCCATTAATTATTGCGTTTCATTTGGTAAATCCAAAAAAATTTATTTTCTAGTGTAATTGTCGTTCTGGTTACGTAGGAATTAAATGTGATCGCTGCACTCACGGATATTTCAATTTTCCGAATTGCGAACCCTGCAACTGTGATCTATCGGGTGTGGATCCAAAAAGCTGTGGAAGTGAGGGGTCATGTTTATGTGATGACAGTGGACAATGTTCATGCAAGGTATGTAAATTTTCCGCGGAATTAAAATTTCACCAGAAAAAAATAGTGATTTATAATCTTTAATCTTAATAAATTAAATATAATAAATATAATCTTTACAGATTAAATTATTTAAGTTTATTTAATTTTTTCTTTAAAAAACTTTCAATCATTTCCATTTCAGAAGAATGTAAAAGGAGAGAAATGTGATATATGCGTCGAACATAGTTTCAGCCTGGAAAAGTCGAATCCTTTAGGTTGTACAGAGTGTTTTTGCTTTAATCGAACGAATTCATGTAAGCAAAGCAACCTTGTTTGGCAGCAAATATATGCCGATGATCGTGAAGTTAATTTTAAATTGATCAAATGTTTAATGAGCGTTTGTTTCGAAGGCGATATTTTAGATGAAAAATGATTATAGGAAGATTTATTCGGAGTTGATTATATGCTTTTATGCTAACGGAAGATTCAACTGTAGATGCTCGTTAAAAAAAAAGTGATAATTAAATAGTTTACAAACCCTAATGTGTGCCATTATCTGTAAAGAATTCACTTTCGATGAATGTCAGGTAATATTCCAAGAACCGTGGCAATATTTTACTCGTAAACATAATATCAACATTCTGAAGGAATATCCTCAACGGTATAATAGTTATCCGGCAGATGTTTCACCGGTATATTGGTAAATTTTTTAGCAATTAAATTTATTTTTGGTGGAATTTTTGCGAAATAATCTGCCTTTAGGCCAATGCCGATGAGTTTTCTTGGTGATAAAACTACTTCATATAACGGATTTATACGGTTCAAAGTGGTAAATTCCGATAACCAGCGTGGTATAGATGAGCGGATTCCAGATGCACAGTACTTTCGCTATTTTCCTCAAATTGTTTTGGTTAGTTTTTATTATTGTAACCAGATATCATTCTCAATATAGATACTTACTGAAGTATCTAAAGTTTTACTAAAATTTTTAGAATAAGATTTTTAAGGTTTTTACTAAAGTTCACAATAAGATGTAAAAAGTTTTAAGTTTAAATTTTATTTGGTTAATAATTTAATAATTTTATAATTCCTTAATAATGCAAAGTGCATATTTTCATTTAAAAAAAAGTTAGTATAAATCAATAAATTGCAGTTCGAATTTCGAATTATATTAATATTTAGATTGGAAATCATCGCATTATTTTGGAGTATGTGCCTGATGATATCAGTGATAATGGCAGATATAAAGTGAAGATACATGAGAGCCAATGGCATTCTCGACTAAGCCCCGAAATCCCAGTCTCCAGAAAACTGATGATGATAGCGTTACAAAATATCCACAGTTTATACATAAGAGCCACATATAACTATCCAGCAAGGTATTTTTTTATTTTTTTGAATTTTGAACATTTTTTCTCTGCAAATACTTGAAATAATGACTTTGGTAAATTTATGCAGTGAAAAATAAAAGAACTGACAAAGAATAGTTTATATTTTCTAATTTTTAAGATATAAAATTTTAGTATATTTTAGTATATAGTATAAAATTTTAGTATATATAATTCAGGGGCGATTTGGCAGCAATCAAGGAAGTAAGTATTGATATCGGCGTAATGGAAAATGTTTCTGATACTAATGCTGTGGCCACTGGTGTTGAAATGTGTGAATGCCTAAAAGGATATGCTGGTTATTCGTGTCAAAATGCAGATGAAGGCTACTGTAGAAAGAGACAGCCGGATTATTTAAACAGTGAGGATGACCTTATGTTAATTGGTTGGTCGGAACCTTGCGCATGCAATGGTCATTCAACAACATGTAATCCGGAAACTTGTAGATGCATTGTAAGTCATTTAAGGGCCAATATTCAATAAAAGTTGCAAATGATGTGAGGATGTTAAAATCTTATAAAGGAGTGTTTTTTTCCTTCCCTTGCATAAAAATCATTTCTAGCCATGCCAGATTAAGGAAGATTGAATTGTGATTTTTTGTGTCATCAATTATAATTTCAGAACTGTGAACATAATACATTCGGTGATTACTGTCAATATTGCAAACCTGGATATTTCGGAGACGCATTGTTACCTGGTCCATATGTTTGTACAAAATGCGCCTGTCCCTTAGCAAACAATAGTTTTAGTAATACTTGTGTAGCAGTTAATAGTGGACGTGGATACCTTTGCGACTCATGCAAGCCAGGTTATACTGGATTATATTGTGAAACTTGTATCAGCGGTTTCTTTGGCAACCCAAATGTAGAAGGAGGTTTTTGTGCTGAATGTGATTGTCATCCAAATGGATCTAAGCATGGCGTATGTGATGTTGTAAGTCTTAATCATTATTTTGTAAGATTAAAATTTCACAGTAAATTTAATAAATGAAATATTTTATTAACATCAAAATATTGAAATGAGACCTGTGAATTAAAATGTATTCAATCAATCAGAAGTTTAAGACAAAGAATTCTTGATTTATATTTTTTTGTTAAGTTTCCCTTCAATTTTCTTCAAAATTCGAAAGAAAATGAAAATAATGTTCGAAAAATAATGTTTTTAGAACACTGGACAGTGTGAATGTCACGAGGGAATCACTGGTCGAGACTGTTCGCTGTGTCAGGAACGACATGCATTCGTTGGTGGGATATGTTTATCTTGCGATCAAGCTTGTACTGCAGAGCTTATGACTATGATAGACGAACTTGAAAGAACTCTTTCATCACAAAATTTTTCTGGTCTCCGACCAATTCCCTGGAAACGAATCGCACGTATAGGAAATGACATTAAAAGTTTGTTTGTTATTATTAGTAAAATAAGCGTTTATTTTATTTTTCCAAAATTTGTTTCCTGAAAGAAGGCATAAATTTTTCAAATGACAGGATCATATATTAGGATCATATAGCAAGATAATAAAATTGATAATAAGGCTATATTCTTTATTCTTTTTATTTTATAGGTTTACATGCAATATTGGATTCCATCCAGTTAGATAAAAGTGCTGCAGAATCCTTGATAAGCGAAATAGGTACCAATAAAATACCTTTGGTAGAAATGAAGGCTGTAGTTGATCAAGCACGTTATATCCAAGAGCGATCTAATAAATCGAAAAACAAGATTGATGAAATCGTTTATGAAGCAATCGCACTTGGCAAAAGTGTTCAAAAAGAACACAGCAGGGTGTATGGTTTGGTTCAACAACTCATTCATTATGTGTCGTTTGGTGGTCATGGTGATGGAAAACTGGCCAATTTGTTAACTGACGTCATGCTACATGAAACTAGATCTTACTTGGATGCAATAAAAGAACGAGGACAATATATTGACAAGCGGCATAATCGTGGTATCATTGAATTTGAGTATGTATTTAATTACTTTTGTTAATTACCTTAATTACATAATTACGCCTTGACATTACATCACTTTATCTGGTAAGATGTGCACAGATTGAGAAAATTTAAGTTCCCTATTTTACCTATGTTAAATTCTTTTTGCTTGATTTATTTTATTCTTTGCAGTAAAGCAGAAGAACTATTAAAGAAAATAACATCGAAAAAATTGAATAACACAGTTTTTGAATCACTCAAACAACGTTTGCAAACTTTTCGCCAGTGGGTAGATGACTACAGAGCTACGGTTTGGGATCATGCACGTCAAAATACTCTAGCAGCTAACAGAGTTTCTGGCGTTGTGTCAAAAAGAATAGAACGCTTTAATGATGTTGCTTCAAACATCACAGATATATTAGTGAAAGCTACTAATGAAATTGGAATGGCTGAAAATATGGTAGTAGAAGCGAAAACTGACAAAATTTTGAGTATGTACGACGATTTTAAGGTATAATAAGTTCTTCCACATTTATCAATTCTACCACATTTTACTTTTCTCGAGATTAAATTTTTTTATTCTTTGGATCTCATTTTAAATTGTAAATTACAACAACATAATTTATGGATAGATATCTATAGATTCATCAATAAATCCTTAATATAATGCATGATCGTTGAGTGATGTTTTAATTTGGATCAAGCCATCATAATTTTATTTTTCACGAGAATGAGCCTATTATTGGGCGTGGACTCCACTGGTACTGGAAACCCACTCGTATCCATATCTGCTTTTACGAAGAAATCTGATTCTAAATTTGCCAAAATTGGTTGCAGCCAGCCAAACAAGAGATTAATTCAGCAAAAAGGAGAGGACAGGATGATTTATTAAATCTATTGATTTCTAACAAGGATCATTTGTCGGAAAATCAACTGGAGATAGAAATAAATGTTCGCCTGCAGCGATTTCAGTTCAAATGATGTCTTTAGTTCTCCTTGAGAGACCGTTAAAAGGAATGGTCGAATTATTTTTCCTCTTCAATAGATTACTCAATTTTTAAAAATATTGACTTTTTCTTGTCATATATCTTATGATGAAAATTTCTTAAGAATCTTAACGATACATTATTTCCTATAATACGAGAAACTATGGAGAAATGTCAAGGAGAAGCCGATAAATATGGACAATTGCTCAACGAATATCGTCGAGAGTATGGTGATGGGAGTAATTACCATGCAAGTAAACTCGAAAGCGAAGCAATTGGATTGCAAAGGTTTACATTTATTAGACTATTGGATTAGAAAAAATATAATAATTGCCAAATAATTCATTAAATTTTTCGGAAATCTTTTAGCTAAAATTGAGTAATCTTAAAATGTTCTCTTCAACTCACTCTAATTCTGTAGTTATCCGTTAATCTAAAAAATTGCAAAATAGTTGTAGTGAAAAAAAAAACTTATTATCAAAAATTATTAGAGAAAACCATTAAAGAAATAAATATTTTGGTCATTCCTTGGCAATATTTATTTATTGGTAAATAAAACAAGCAAGGCGCAAAGCGCAACTGTTTACGAAATCCAGTGATAAGCCACAATTTTAACCCATAATTTTGTTGTATTTATACATCATATTTGAAAATATGCAAAATTCAAAAGTGAAAATATATTTATATAAATATATTTTTGTGAATCATTTTTTATATGCATTTGTACAAAAGATATATGATTTCGTAATTTAAAAAAAAATTTTATTTTTTGTCATCTTAAGTTCTTTCGTGGATACGAAAATGGCGGCCGCGAATCCACTTCGTGCTTCAAATGCGTATAAGGAAATTGTCGATGCTTTGCGAAATGCATTGAATGCTTCCGAAACAGCAAAAAAAGCAGCTGAACATGCTTATAATGAACTGGATCCGAAATCAGAGACGTCCATGGTTAATATCGCATTACAATCGCGTAATAAAAGTCTTGATTTGAAAAAAGACAGTGAAATGAACTTAAATGATTTAACGAAGGAAAGATTGGATTATAAGAACCGCTTAGACGTTGTTAGAAAAACGATATCAGATAGACAGAAGAAAAAATCGCTCATAAGCGGTAAGTTCATAATTCTTTGATAATTTCTTTAATGATAATACAGAAGTGATTAATCACCATGTGCTAAATTTGTTAAAACGTAGCAAGCGGACTTATTGCTTATGCTTGTGCGACTAGTATTATCTACGTAGTTTGATTTAAACCTGGCGATTCAGCTTATTCCGACAGTACTATTTATTACTGACGCGAGAAGGTTAGCAAAAATTTTGGCACTATATCGATGCCTTCTCCATTAGCATTTAGGATTAGGTCACGGCTTACTGATTTATGACATTTGGTGAGGAAAAGAACTTGTCATCTTAATTTCTCAATTTTTTGATATTGAAAGTTATAAATAAATTTAATAGCTCGCTACGATTTTCGGCATATTATGTCCATGGCGTTTGAGGCGTGTCTGTCAGAGGCTAAGGTTAAGGTCTGATATGCCGTTTTTTGGTCTCCCCATGCCTGACCTACTTTTTTAGGCCTAACGACCTGTAACTATAAATAATTAGGGTGTATCCATGCATCAATGCATGTTTTCTTGTATCCTTTTATGAAAAACATTTATATCATATAAAACGTATTTCATGTAATGAAAATTCTTCCTATTCCCATCAAATAGCTTTTGATATTCAGGAAATTCCTTTGTTTCATTTTTTGCCTACAATGCTCTCTTTTACCGTAACGCATTATTAAACACAAGTTTACTTACATGATTTGTTTCGAATTATTATTATCAGAAAAGATGAAGTTTATTTCGTGCAATTATAAATCCAAGTAGATGAAGAATTTAGAGCAGTATCAAACGTTTGATGATCAACATGATCGTATGACTGGTTTGGTGAATGCAGCTGGTGATTCTGAAGATCGTGCAAAAGGCGTTCTGGAAAAGGCGAATAAAATTAATGCCAAAATCAAAGAAGTCGATGAATCTGTTTCAAATTTGAAAAAATTTGCTAGCGAAAGTATTCGAGAGATCATTGATAATGGTAAATCTATTCTTTTTTTATCGCGCTGTGTTGATTTGTAAATCGAAATCTATCCATTTTTAGTTCGTGAAGCTAATACAGAAGTTAAAACTGCAGTAGACCACATTGAGAAAGTAAATCGACAAACAGAAGAAGATGCTAAGAGAATTGGCGATTTGGGAAATAAAATTGCTATTTTGCAAGAAAAAATCAAAGAAGCTCGGGAAAAAGCGTCAAGAGTAAGTCTTGTGGATTCAGAATAATTTTCTGCTCTTTTTTTGATCATCCCAGTCTTAATTTAACAGTCGTTTATTTTCTTTCTTTTTTAGATAAGGATTTCAATGAAATCAGATGAAGAAGGCGCTTGTAGACGATCATTTACTTCTCCGATCCATCCGTCGCCATCCAATAAATTCTCCATTAAATATCGACCGTTTTGGAATGTACCTGATTCGTTAATCTTTCTCACCCGTACAAAAGCCAAACGTACTCAACCTGCTGAATATCTTGCAATGGAATTACGTAATCGGCGAATAGTCGTGCACTGGGATATTGGGTCGGGTGCACGCAAAGCAACTAACACGCATACAATCAATTATATTACACCTGGTGATAGAACTGCATGGTACCATATAAATATCGAAAGGTTTAATTCAAATGAATTTGATTACTAAGATTTAGATTTTTCCATCTATGATCTACTTTATTTACAAGCTTTACTTTAAAAAAATCATTAATTTTTTTTAGGATTGGAAATTCTGTGGTTGTTACCGTAGCACAACGGCAAACAATAATGGGTGAGGGTGTTAGAGCAATAGACGAGCCAACTACAGTAAAAGTTGGGAAATCAGAAGAAGATTCTGATGTAATTTTCAACACAGTCCCTGGAGAAACTAAAATACAATTCGGGATCGATGCAAATTTGGCGAAAGAATTAGGCTTTTCAACTAATAAATTTTATGGAACGATTGGTGGCTTCACTGTGGATGATGCACATTTGCCATTATGGTCGTTTTCTCAGTCAAATCAAGCATGTGAGGGCGATTTCGCTGCACCAGTTACTGCTTCAACTGGTCACATTTTTCGGTATTTAATTTCTCTGTTATTTAATGGAGAGAATAAAATTGGTAAATGGGGTCGAGTAAACAAGTAAAAATTATATTTCAACAATTTTATGGCACTGAATATATGGCATTGGATATATTTTTCGATTAAAATATCAAATTCGGTTATATTGGCTGTCCACTTGTCCTATCTTTTAAACGAAGATGAAGAAATATGTCAATTTATGAATCAGTTGAATTACCTGAAATTTTTTGTATAATTGTTTTAGCGATGGATTCGCGCAGATACGATTACAATCGGTTGAAAGGCCTAGCGGAGCACAGATCACTATGATTTTTTCTGCTTATTCGCCAGATGGTTTACTTTATTTCCGCGGAAACCCAAGTAGCACTGAGTTTGTGGATATTGAGCTGCGCGATGGCCGAATTGTGTTCAAAGTATGATATAACTTTTGCCTTCCTTAGAACCTTTATGAAGCAATAGAAATGCAGTGCTCCAAAATTCCTTCTGAGTGTTTCGACCTTATTTCATTTTTATTGGTCAACATTAAAATTCTACTTTAGTTTTAGCTATTTCAGAACGGAATGTTTTCTATGTTTTCTTATAAATGTTAGTTCATCGCTAATGGATTTTATTTTATTTTGTTATATGGCTGAAAAGTTCAAATATTTTTTCATTTTATTGGGAAAATTCCCATCTCCGCATTTAATCTTAAAATTTAATTAACTATGTACATTAAAAATTTTTATAGGTTAATCTTGGTGATGGGTCTTATGCTGGTGTTCAGTCAAAGAAGTCTTCCTACAATGATGGCCGTGTACATAATGTTCGTGCTATACGAAATAATGGCGAAATGCACCTTCAGGTATATCTATAAATTTACTATATATCTATAAATTTAATATTTATTTGTATTTTGCATATCCATATTCACAATTTTTGTGGCGAATATACTACTTTTACTGAAAGCTAAAATCTTAATAATTTATATTTAATGAAGTTTCTTTCATATTTTATTAGAGATAAGTTAAATCAAATTTAATTTGGAAAAATGAATGAGTGCAGTAATGGAGTATTTGCGAAGAATGTGGAGAATATAGAATAAATTTTCGGCAATTTTTTACGGAGTTATTGGCAAAGAAGAAGAAATTTTATTTAGCTGGTTGCATTAAGGACCTATGTTTTTTCAAAAGTCCTTACCTGGTTAAAACTCTGGCTTCGCTGGCTTATCGCACTGGACAAATATACCAGGGGCAGTTTTGGCGATGCAATATAGTTGGATAGCCAGCACTACCGGATATTTGGACATGTACTTGCTTCTACAAAGAATAAAATCTCAGCATCAGCGCTCCGAATTGAGCAATAACGCATTAAGCGGTCCAGTCCCTTAACAACTTTTGTTATCAAATTTATAAATACAAATTTATCAAATAATTAATTATATTTGTTAGGTTGATAATGAAAACGACCGCAGTATGCAGAAGATTCCTGGAAAAAATGGTGTATTAAGTATTCATGAGTACGATCATTTTGTTGGCGGTGTTCCATCTGATTTCAATAAGACTGCATTCGAGCAGTTTGATATACATTGGAATGGATTCTTTGGATGTATTCAGTCCGTAAAACCTTCTCAAGTAAATGCGATTTAATCATTTTATTGACAGAGAATATTTGAGTGGTTAATTTATACATTCCAGTTAGTGGTCTTTCTTCATATTCTCTAGGTAATTTCTTGACAAATTGAGGATCTTAGCTATTTCGACATTTTTCTTTATTTTATTGTCTAATTTCTAGGTGACTGAACTCGATCTTGATCATACAATTCGATCGCAACGCAAATCGCAGGGATGTTCATTTAAAAATAATCGTCTGGAACCTGCAGATCGAATTATAGGCTTTGAAAAGCCTGGATTCCTTATAATTGAGGGTGTTCAGTTATCAGATAATTCAACGTAAGTTAAAATATAATGAAAATGGTCATTTTTGAATAATATTTGTTTTTTCAATAGATTGGCGTTCGCTTTTCGAACTCGAACAGCAAATGCAACTCTGCTTTTCCAGTCGAGCAAACTTACTACATTTAGAAGACGTGAGCGAGAAACTGATTCATCTTACGGACAGGTAAGTTTTGAATTTATATTTACTTTACTATCTTTAGTTTTACTTTCTTATTTGACCACTATAATTTTGTGATCGAAATCAAACTTTAGAAGGAAGAAGTGAAGGAAGAAGTCAGAGATTGAGAAAAATAATTATATGATATGAATAATACAATAAAATATGATAATTATCACTAATTATTTATCATCTCTTTATGTGTTGATTTATTTTAGGGCTATTTGGCCTTTTATCTATATCGTGGTTATTTGGTTGTACATTTGGGTATAGATGCTTCACAGAGAAGTAAAGTACTAACGCTTAGATCCGAAAATGTTTATAATGATGGTCAATTACATTCAGTTTTTCTTTCTCGGCAAGGAATAATGTGAGTTTTTTTGTTATACTTTTTCTTAAACATTGAAGAGGTTTGTGAAAAATTGAGTGATTGAATCATTACTAGGATCACTTTACGAGTAGATGATCGTGAAGTTGCTTCGGGAACATTAATGGATCAAACGACCATTGGTGCGCCTTCTATGCAAATATTTATTGGTGGATTCCCAGATAAAATAAGGCCGTCAAGTAGTGAAATGCCGATGGCTGAATCTTTTATCGGATGTATTTCCCATATTTTCAGTAATTATGAGTAAGTGATATTTTTATAAATTCTAACTGTAAATTCATAAATTGTTGCAAAATTAAATTTATATGGTAATTTACAAATATTAGAATTATTGTTCAATTTTCTCTGTTTTTTTGCCTTTGAAAATACAATATATTGATTTGTGCAGGATGGTGCCGATTATACCTGATGCGCATTTGGCAATAATCGGATCTTGTCCCGTTGGTCCCTTTTCCACATCATCTTCAGGTTTACTCTCATGCTATTCCTTGTCCTTAAATTAAAAATTTCTCGTAATTTCTATAACGAGATTAACGAGATCTTTTATTACGATCTTTCGAGTCGCAGCTAGGCAAATGAATTGATTGGTTTTATGGATTTATAGTACCCTTTTGGTAAACCCATTATTTAATTTTCTGCTGTTCATTCCTTATGTGAATAAAAATTATTCCTAATTTTCATAAAAGTTTAAAATGGGCAAAAAATTTTCTATTTTTTGAGATATTTGGGTTAATTTTTTGTTTATCGCTTTTTTCTTGTATTTGCAAAGTAGTAATTAAAAGGATTTATCTATCTACAGATGAGCCACTTACCGATCACCAAGCATTTGATCGAAAAGCATCCAAGATTTCTTTGCATAAAATCGAGCCAACTTTGTCAACCTCTGATAAATATATCTACGCAGATGGTATTTTATCGAATTTATATAAAATCCCAAATTTTAATATTTTATTTTTTATTTAGTTTAAATTGGAATTATCAATAATTTTATATTAACCACTTATTTTTTTGAAGAATCCCAATTTTATGTCAATTTTTTTTCATTGATTAGTAATCCAATTCAATGAAATTATATGAAACTGTAATTTTTAAAAGGAAATAATTTTAGTGTTATTTTATTTATTTTTCATTCCTTAATTAAATAAATGATTTAAATTTCTTCTTAGGAGAGATGTGATTCTTTTTATTTTCGTTGGGTTATTTTTATTTCACCTTTTTTCACGTAGTAATTTTCTTTTCTTCGTTTTACTGCTCTTCCAAAAGAGTTCTTCGCAATTTTTTGCTTCTAGCTTCGTTTTTCGAGGAATGAAATGCAGATTAGCTCATAGCCACCACTCACTTTTAGATTTTATTTTCATTAACAGATTCAACAGATTTACTTATTCGAGAGAAAAATTATATATGTCGTGGCCTCAGTTTACACTTAGAATCGTACTGTTTTTGCAACAAAGCATTGATGTCTTTTGAAATGGAGTGTGGGTGGAAATTTAAGGATTTAATTTAAGATTGAACTTTTTTAAATTCCTTATTTTTTTGAAGTCTTTTGTTTTAATGTGAACTTTTATCAAAAAGGTTGTCTTGCTCGTTGTTCCGAATTAAAGTAAGTATTTGTAAATTAATTTTTAGCACAAGTTGCCGCTGCTTCCGGTAGATTGCTTCCTACTGACCTCCCTAATGACCGTGTGCCGATCGTCGTTCATGGTTCTATAAATACTCAGATCCGCAGTACGAAACTACCATCTATGAAAGTTAGCAATGAAAATAAAATTTTAATTGGAAAGCGAATTTGTTTTTGAGTTTATTTCACTGGAGTTTAATAGTACAAAATAAAACATATTTCTAATTTAGTGTATGTCGGCCATCACAGCGGATGATGATGGTGAAGGTTCCGCTCGATTTGGCGTCTCAGAAAGTAGTCACAGTCGACTTAATTTCATTAATCACTATCCCAACATTTTTGAGTAAATTAATAATTCTTCCAGAAATACAAATTATTTACTATAATTCAAAACAAAAAAATTTTTAAATCTAGGACGATGAATTTTTTTGCCTTTTCAAGAATATGCATAATAGATTTTCTATAGATTTCGAATTGGATTTTCTTTTCGGACTACAGAACCCAACGGTATGTTGTGGATTTGGGCAAATTATAAAAGTTATTCGCGATATGTCTTCTTGAATCTCATCAATGGTCGTTTGAAACTCGAAGTTAGTTTATTTCTAGAGTCGTCAAATTTGCTTTGTATTCTAATTTTATTCTAGCTTTTGATTTTTTTGAATGAATTTGAGCATCAAAGAGCTTTTCAGGTAATTATCTTCTTCTAACAGTTCTTACTATTTTACTATTGGTTAAGTTGGCTCCGCTGGCTGCAAGGGTAAGACGTTTCCAAGCTGCATGATATGATGATATCTTTGTTAATAGTGAAAGTCATTCCTTTTTCCGCCGTTTAAATCCATATATCTCTGGCCCATCCTTCGTCAACCATGTTTCGCAACCGTATAGCAATATCGATCGAATTGCAGCTATATAGATGCGGACTTTCGTTTTTATGGTGATCTCGCTACTGCTTCACAAAGGCAACTGGAAGAATGCATTTCTAGCTATCGTTATTCGAGTTGTAATTCCGCCTTTTGCTTGGCCATTTGGGATTAGGGTATTTAAAATCGGACACTTCTTTAATCGTCAATGAATTGATATAAATAGCTATTATTTCAGCTTCTTCTATATAAAACGACTGCAGTTGTTGATATATTATTTAGCATTATTTGCATTTCGTTATAATTGATGACAAAATGGCTATTCAAAGTCTATGATAGTATACTTTGGACTGATTTGTACATCTCTTGAATGCCGACAATCGACGTCTATTATCTGGTTTACCGCATAGTTGAATATTGTAGAAAAAAGGAGCAGCCTTGACCGACACGATTACTTATTTCGAAGGAGTCTATCAGTTCCCCATATACACAGACCTATGCCGATGTGCGCTGATAAAACGCCTTTATAAGTCGATTGATCTTCTCTGGAACACCGTCGCTTTTCACCACCCCTTCAAGTTCTGTTCTGTCAATTGAACCGAAGTCAGCTACAAAGTCGATGAACCATATGTCAATGAGTCGTAAATATTTGAAGCGATGGTCCTTCTTAATCTGAATATTTGGTCAGCATAACCTCGTCTGACCAGCTTGATTAAGGCGCATCCTGATATCTCGCCATAAGTTCAGTAGAATGGAAGCAAAATAATTCCTTTTTTAATCTAATCTGTGATTCCTCAATTTTAACTTTCAGATCAAAGGTCACAAGGCCCTTAAAACATTCACTTATAACTCGCCGAAATTAAATGATGGACATTGGTATAATGTTACGATTATCAAGGATAATCGAGAAATCTCAATGAAAGTATGTGTTATGCTCGAATTGTTGTCAAATTAATCCTTGATCATCTAAAATCTAAATATTAAATAATAAGAATTTAAATAGTATTCATAAATAATATATTATTTTTACAGGTTGATACTTTTCCCATGCAGAATGCATCAGATATGCCAAGTCCAAAAGTAATGAAAAAAAGGATGTATGTTGGTGGGGTGATATCTCGCCATCGAAAACAATTTTTATTGACTACACCTGGTTTCACCGGCTGCATTAGGTTGATTTTCATGAATTTAGTTTTTAGGCTATCGTTATTTATGCATTAAAAAAAGTTTGTGAAAACAGTGGTTTCAGGAATTTCACAGTCGCTGATAAGACTTACGATTTATTCGTCTCTTCTCGCGATGTTATTCCTTGCTCAGTTCCATCACAGTCCTTCTATGTTCATGTTGGAGGATATTTTAATTTTGGTAGTTGTTTTTCATTAATTTTATAAGATATTTCATAGTGCTCAAATATGAAATATTCTATATCTATGTTTGACTGATTTTTATTTGATAAAATTTTTTAACTGCAATATTTATAAAAAAATTTTTATGTAAATTTTCTTCTTTTGTCAACTCCCACTGGTTTGTTGGTCCCATTAATTCATTTTTTCACCAGAGAGCCAGTTGGGAATAAAAGGAATCAATCTCGAGTCTCCGACTCGACCCAAATTTTAATTTTATTTAACAACTTTTAATAGCAGTTAGCAGTTTAATAGCAGTTTTTCACGCATCAGAAAATAGGAAGTGAATCCATAATACTTAACCTCACTTTAAATGACTCTTAACCCTCCTGTGTTGTTTAATTTTATTAATGGCCATATGAAATTATTCTGGAATGCAGCTGCTGGAATAATTTTCAGGTCCTATGAAAACATTTAACAATCGAAATGATATTCATATTAGCATTCAATTTCGGCCAGGTGTAGAAAGTGGTCTTGTATTCAGCTTGATGAATAAAGATTCAGACAACAATGCATGGATTATAATTTATTTAAAAGATGGGCTGGTTTGTATATTTTAATTAGAAAATAAGGCAAAATGACTAATAACAGCGGCTTATGGCTTTTTCAATATTTTTATTATCTCCGAAGCGTAAAGCTGTGGCATTACCTCATTACCTCATTTCTCTTCATCTTCATCTAAATCCTGTTTTGTTTAAGATAATTTTCAGGTAATATTCGAATTATTTGCCGCAAAACAGCGACTTGATTTGAAGCACTTCTTTAGTGGTAATATATGTGATGGAAATTGGCATAATTTAAGTTTACAAATGTCGTATAGAAACATTATACTTAGTTTGGATTTGGTAAATTATTCAGTTTAAATTCTGTTTTCCTGGTGAATTTGAGATTTTTATACTAATAAATCTCATATTTCAAGGAAATCGAACATAAATCATCGGAAATAAATAGTGAATCGATCAATCTGTTTCGAAATCTTCCCGTTTATATCGGTGGAATGCCAGGTATTTTCACTCTCTAATTATTCTTATTTGTTCGGCAAGTTTGTCAGATTTGAAAATAAATGTACTGTAGGTATGAGTCGGAAATGGTTGGAAATTAACTGAATTTTTTTTAGCAGCATCTTTCGAAAAAAGCCACATCTCATCATTAATCGGCTGTTTCCGTAATTTTCGTCTTTCCGGTGAAGTTGTGCAGTTTAATAAGGCAAAAAAATCATTTAAGACAATTCTAAATAGTTGTCCATTATCAAATTAAAGCATATTTTTATGGAAAATTAAATTAAAATTGGCATTCTTAATAAATTTGGCATTATTCCATAAATTTATTTTATCCCCATTCTAAATATAATAAAACCAATAGCATGTTTGCCCATATTTTACTGTGCTTTTATTTTATTTTAAATTTTATTATTCACTGTTTTATTGGAAAAAGTCATCTTTAATAAATATATTTGATGTTAATAATAATTTTGCAATATTATTCAGCTTTCGACATAAATTCAACGTTACTTTTTATGTTTTAAATATTCTTCTCATTTTAATTTGGCTAATTCCACTGAATATTAGATATTTGCTATTTCGCAAAATAGAATGCAGATGAAGGCTATGATTTGTCCCCAGTACCATCCGAATTTCTAAACACTGGTTTTCTTCATTTCCAGTGCCATATATGATATTAAGGGATTCTAAAAATGATTTGCATTATTGACATTGTTCATCTATAAATAAGTGGTTAGCACTTACCGTTCCTGGTTAATTGCACTTCACTGGCTATTAGTAAAATCAGACTATAGGAACGGTTCTCCAGTCACTTTGATTGTACTTTCAATTATAGGTTTACATCTATCAAGGAAGAAATTTCCTTAAATTTTCGCTTAAAATTAAAATTTAAAATTGGTTACTGTATTTTATTGTTTTGTTCATAAATGTTAGTTGACATCAGTTTTTCTAATGGCGCTCCCTATTGCTGGTCGCGCTTTCTCCGCTGGCTTTGTCGGACCAGGTACCTTGGCTAGAAGTAACTTTAAAAATGGTCATTAATAAAAATTTATTATCAAAATCTAAAAACAAATAACTTTTGGAAATGTTTAGATAAAAGTTAAACGTTTCCGAGAATTTTTCAGACAAAAAAAATTGTATCTGTTGTTCATTTTTCTTCTATTATTACTCAATTAAAAAATGTGGAAATATTGCTTCAACAACATTTATTCGTTTTACACTTGAAAACACTTTTCAACATTAAAGTTCGCCTTCATTATTAAATCTTTTTAAGTTGGTGAACGGCAAAAAATCAAAGGTCTGCGGATCTTGGCTACAGTTTTGTAGAAGGTTAGGGAGCCAGGAATTCATCCACACCTTATCCAAATGTCATGTGGATATCGTTTGCCTATTAGGAATTCTTCTGGGTTCAGAGCATTAACTAATTTGCATAAGAACTGCTGGCTGTATCACAGTGACAACTCAGGAAAAAATGGAGTTATGACTGTCATATCCGAAAAAGCACGATCTCAGCTCTAATCTTATGAAATCTTTTTGCAATATCCTGAACATCATTTTTTTTATCTCTTGAATAATCTGGATGATTCTATGCCGAAACTTGCTAATAATCATGAAAAATAGCAAGATAGTAGGAAAGTGGAATAGGCGCGCAAACGTGAGGGCTATCTTTTGTGGTGGGCAAGTATGGTGTTGGTTTGCCAATGGAGAGCATTTCTACATTACGCTGTGAAGCATGGGCTTTTTGTCACCAATATATGCTTGCAAAAGATTACGTAGAACTCGCCAGACAATTTGGATGAATCGGTGGAAGAGTTCTGTAAAGTTCTATAGTAAACGCGCATATTTCGGAGTCGAAATTGGCGAGTTCTACGTAATTTTTTGCAAGGGGTTAGACCATGATTTGATTAAAGCCAAGGTCGAAATGAAATTAGCAACATAGAAAACATAATTTCCCTAAAATTTTTTCATTATCTCAAGTTAAAAGACCGGAAACAATCCAGCTGATCGGCCGTGCATGTAATGAAATCAGCAGCTTTATAGACTCGGTCGCGATACATAAAACGATACTGGAATAGTATGGCTTTGAATATGGACTCGAATAGGAGATCATCGAAAACTATTCCTTTTATTTAACAAAACAACCTCAGCTCGAGAAATGACCAGTGAAACAATTCCATCCGAGATAGAGATGGAAATCCCGTTAAGATTATATCTCTCAATAGATGAATTTCTTTGAATCCGTACTAAACTATCCAATATCCAATATTCCAAGTGAAAAAATTTTAAAAATTTCGAATCTTGAGTAGTCGTATTTCTATTCCATTGTTCCGTTATTTTTGGAGTATTTTAGAATTTCTATAAACAATGAGCTTAATTTTCTAAAAAGTTCTTTTTCTTTTCTAGATTTACAGACAATGAAGTGAAATTATATATATTAAAATTTTAAAAATTTTTTTGTTGAGCGGTCGTTTCGAAAAATATTCTCGATTTACTTTTATGAATTATTTTTCATTTCTGATCATAATTCGACTAAGTCCTCTTAAATTTTTAATTTTTTTTTACCAAACGACGATTAAAATAAAATAAATTAAAATTAAATCAATAAAATAAAATAAAATATAAATCAAATCAATTAAATTGTATAAATAATATATATATATATATATACATTTTTTTTATTTTTAAAATTTAATTGCCTTTTTATTTTCTACTTTTTTTTTAAAATTTCATTGCCTATTTTATTATTTTCTTTATCTTTGGCAGGAGTATCCGGGTGGCTGCTGGGTACCCACCCGTATCTCTATCTCCAAGTGACTCTGTGATGAAGAGGTCAGATATTTTTAACGCGCATGATATTCTCAACCTGGTGATACATGATACATGCGATAAGTGCGAAAATGTGATCGCAAGCGAGGATAATTGCTTTTACCTATCAAGGTAAAAAGCCCTCTGCACGTGCAGCGAGGTATTAGCCGTATCAGCGTGGAACGTCAGAACACTAATGGACGTTGCAAGCCAAGCGATCACTCTTTCTTTCTAAATATCGTGTGGATATCGCTTGCTTGTCGAGGTATATCTTCCTTATTTCGGGTCTCGAGTGATTGTTAATCTTGGCTCGGAGCAGAAGTATTAGCTATATCGCTGTGGTCCTTCAGATAACTCGCAGCGAAATGGCGTAGCGATTGTCATGTTTGACAAAGTCCATTCCGCTTTGATTGAGTGGAAACCATTAAGCGATATGGCGTGTTAAGGGTAAATTCTTCTATATTTCGGTCATCAATATCTATGTTCCAATTCTGTCGGCATATGACCGTGATAAAGAAAATTCTATGCAGAACTTCATCTGCTAACATGGTATGATCATAATTGGGAGAGACTGGAATGCGTGCGTGGGTCATAATGCCGTTGCAGTGACCTCAATAATTGGTAAATATGACATCGGAGAGGCAAATATGACATAGAAAACATCTATGTGGAACTCCAAGGACAACCAACCAACACTTCAGCCAGATTGATTATATCTTAGTCAATCGCTATTGGAAGAGTTTCATACTAGATAGTCGTTCCTATCGCGGCGCTGAAACGGGCAAACTTCATGGGTCTGGCCGTGTTATAGTTCGAGCTAAGATCAGCAAAAAATGACAATTCGCAAAAAGCAGCATCCCTCAAGATCCTTCAATTATTTCAAACTAAAAAATCAGTGAGCAAATTATTGAATCATCTCAATGGGATAAATATCAATGATTTTTCTGGAACGGCAAATGAATACTGATTCTAACTAAAGGAATGTCTCCAAAATCAACTACTTCCACTCTATACACTGGTGTAAAAAGATATGCCTTATGATTAGAATAATGTATTTTGCTCGCAGTTCGCGTCCAAGAAAGGTCATAGGACACACTACGAAGCTATTGAAATCAACTTGCTAGATGTTTTAGAGAAGATTTTGCTCCCTTAATTATGATTGTGGTCAAGACAATCTGTAATATTAGACCACACACTAATCAATCCAAGCCAAGAAATTTGCCTGTGGTGACCAAATTTTCATGCTGAGAAGATTATTATTATTACTATTGAAACATTATTTCAAATATCAATAACCTGCCGTTACGTGACAAAGCGTCATCTACGCTGGTTTGGCCATATTCTTCTGTCGTTCATCATAGGAATTTACATTTCACTACTTGCTAAACCCTGTGATGGATGGTGCCAAAAGGAAAAAGGACATTGATTGATAAAAAGATTGTAGAAGAGATTTTGATTATAAAATACCCCAGCGATATGTGGCTTCAACGGTGAAAAAAGGAGTAGCTTCAGTTATTTTCAGAAACCCAGCTGACCCAGCTGGGTTTGAAAATTTCCTACCCCCATCACCAAAGGATCGAGCCCAACCAGAAATAGTGAACTATTAGAAAAAAAAGAGAACGATTTTATAGTATTTCCATTTTTATTTTAGCAATCTTAAGGCTGGATATAACTATCGCTTAATTTTAGTGAAAAAATTTTCCCTAATATCATTCATCTTATTATTAATATTATTATTGTTATTATTATTAGTTATTATTATTAGCAATTTTATTATTATTACTATTATTATCATTTTGCTAATTATTGCCAATTATTATTAATATTACTTAATTTTTGCCATAACTTGTATTTTCTCTTAAAATAATTTACCCAACATAAGAAAATAGGTTAGCGTTCACTATTTCTGTAAAGGTTACGCTGCAGTTAACAATTTATCTAATGTGAATTAAATTCATTCATTTCGAATAATTTCTAGTTGCATTTTTTCTCGGTATCAGAAATCGAATTTTTTTTTTTGGAAATGTTTATCACTGCAAAATTGTAAAATGCAGTAGCATTCTTTTCATTTGCAAACGGTTAATTTAGAATTTATTGTCTAATTTCATATATGCGATTGTTTTAAAAATTTGAAATTTATTTATTGTAAATTTTGAAGAATTGCAAGAAAGAAATAAAAGAATTTAAGAGATGAATTTCTGAAAAAAACTAAGCATTTAACAGAATTCGGCATTTTTGCAAGGCTATTGATTGCATCAAAGAAGAAATAGTTTTTTAAATCTAATTATCCGATTTAAAGCCTTTACCGAATCTCTCGCTTATTTTACGAAAGACTCGTGTTCACTTATAGATATGAATTGCAGAGCATTGCTAATATTATTATCTTGAGCATCATGGTCTGGCTTGCCATCCGAGTGGTGCGAGGGACGTATTTCTTCTCCAAATGGCTCT